CTCCGAAGAGTCTTCCTTTGAGAACGACCCGAGTCGGGTAGCTCGGTTACCACATGCCCAAAAATACTACAAACAAGGAACAAGGCTCCAGGTTTTATTATGCATTAGAGCTGAATACTCACTTTGCATTGCTTCTTTCCACTTGTCATGACTGAGAGCTTCCATAAGAGTCATTGGTTCATCCTCCTGCATTATAGTGTTATAGGCTTTTGGTTTATAAATTCCTCTCTTGGACCTGGTGATAATGGGATGAACATACTCATTAGTAGCACCAATATCATTCACATGATTAACAGGTTGAGTAAATCTATCATTCAACATTGGCAATTCAACAAAGAGAGGAATAGTGGTATTAGAACTAGAACCTGCAGAAACAGACTGGGGAGAGTTGTGAGTATTGTGATGAGATGAAGTGGGGGAACTTGGTGATTGAGATTGATTAGATCCTGATGGTTGAGAAGAGACTTTGCTGTAGGTTTGGGAAAAGTCAATAACACAAGGGGTTGCATTGGTGTTGGGATTTGATGGACATGTATGAATGGTAAGGAGGAAGTTTTTGTTTGTAGGGAAAAATCCTCTCATTGAAAATTACATCTCTTGTGATAATCAGCTTTCCATTGGGTAAGAGAACCTTGTTGCCCTTGTGATGAGGACTATATCCAACAAAGGTGCCAAAATATGACCTGAACTGTAGTTTATGTTTGTTATATGGCCTAACAAGAGGATAACACAAACAACCAAAGACCTTTAACATATGCAGGTTGGGTTTATGACCATATAGAGTTTCCAAAGGTGTTTTGTGAGACAATAGTTTGGTTGGAACTCTATTAATGAGATAACAAGAACTGACAAAGGCATCATCCCAAAAAGTCATAGGTAAAGAGGACTGAGCAAGTAAGGATAATCCCATTTCCACTACATGCCTATGTTTTCTTTCAGCTAATCCATTTTGCTGAAGAGTGTGAGGACATGATAGTCTGTGGTGTATTCCATTTTCAAGAAAGAATTTGCTAAGGGACCTGAACTCACCTCCCTAATCTGTTTGAACACTTTTAACAGTTTTATTCAACTGGTTCTCATCAAGTTTTTTAAAGTGAAGAAAGGCATTGTAAGTGTCTGATTTGTGTTTGAGCAGATATAACCAATTGAATCTACTGTAGTGATAAATAAAGGTAACATAGTAGAGGTAACCATTTCTTGATTTAACTGGTGAAGGGCCCCATAAGTCAGAGTGAATTAATTCAAGAGGCTCACTACACAAAGTTTCAGAAATAGAATAAGGTAATCTATGAGAGTTTGCCAACAAACATGAAGAACAAGGGTCATTCATTTCACTTTCTTCAAAAGAAATATTACAATCTTTCAATGCTCTTATTACAACATCACAAGATGCATGACCTAATATCTTGTGCCATAACTCTAGATTGCACTTCTTGGAATGGGAAACTGCAGAAACTGAATGGACACTTAGTTGAAAGAAATTTGAAGAAGGCTGAAAATCTCTTTGGCTTGTGAGGTTGAACTGATATAGACTATCTTTAAGAGTTCCCTTGAGAAGAACTTGGTGAGAACCCTGATCCTTGACAAGACAAGATTTAGGATGAAACTCAAAAAACACATTGTTGTCCAATGCAAATTCAGAAACACTGAGGAGATTCTTAGTGACAGAGGGAACATGAAGAAGGTTGTTTAATTTAAAAATCCTAGATGAATGAGAAGATTTAAGTTGAGCATTGCCAATATGAAAGATAGACTCACCAAAACCATTACCCATGTGAAGTCTGTTGGTGCCTTGATATTCAAAAGCATTTGAGAGAGTGTTGAGATCATTTGAGATGTGATTGGTGGCCCCAGAATCTGGATACCAAAGAGACTCAACATTACTCTATGAACTGATGCTAGGTGAAAGAGGAAGCAGTAGAGCTAAATGAAGGCCAGGACTTCTTGAATGTTGAAAACCACCATTGTGCTGGCTTTGAGAGGTCAAGTTGTTATTGTTGTTGTGCTGATGCTGCTGATTTGAAGGGACATAGCTTGAATCATATCTATACCAACATCTATCAGTTGTATGACCATAGACCCAACATACTTGACACACGGTTCTTCCACCTTGAAACCTGCCTCCTCTTCCCTTAAAGCCTTTGTAGTCCTTCCTCTTCCTCTAAATGAGTTCTTTCTGCCTCTGCCTTGATTACTGTTCCAGCTTCCTCTTTGATTTCCTTGAGTGGCAATGTTAAGAGAAGGTTGAGATCCATCAGGGTTTACATTTTCTCCACCAGTGTGAGGATTGGCAGCTTCTAATCCTGTCTCATAACTCAACAGGAGTGCTTGAACATACATTACAGATCATGTGTCTATTCTTGAGGTGACTGTGATCATCACAGGGTCATACTCACTTCCTAAAGCTGAGATTATGTGTAAGATCTGATCCTTATATGAGACCTTAGCTCCTACAGATGCCAACATATCAAAACAACCCTTCATCTTGTTCAAGAACTCTCTCATACTCAGATTTCCTTTTCTCGTGGTTTGAAGTTGTAACTTAAACTGCATCTGTTTGGCTAATGACTGACTGGTGAAGTTTGTAGAGAGAGCTTGACATATCTCTATAGAGGTTTGAAGCCCTACCATTTGAACAAGAAGACTCTCTGAAAGAGATGAAAGCAACCATGAGGCCAAGATCTGATCTTGCCTTTGAAAAGTGATGAACTCAGGATTGTGGATCTGTGCTCCTTCTTGCTCAATGAACTGTGGTGGCTCTTGTCCTTTTGTGATGAAGTGCTCGAGGCCATAGCCTCTAATGGTGATGAGTGCCTGCTGCTTCCATATAAGATAGTTGTTCTCATCTAACTTTGTGGTTAAAAGCTGATTTTGAGGGTAAATGACTTGAAGAGATGAAATGGGGTTAGGGTGTCCCCCAATGCCAGACATGGCTGTCTCTGAATCAGACATTCATGAATAAAGAAAGAGATTTGGAAATGAAAATGGATAGGTGTATCAGCAGCAGGAAAATCCTGCTCTGATACCATGAAAGAAATAAACAAAGATCATAAGAAGAAAGATGACAAATGGTGCTGCCATTGTGTAGTCGATTTCTTGCTCAAGAATTCATTACTTTCACTGTTCAATACATCATTCATAAATAGTGCTTGTAACCCTAGTTAGATAAGAACAACATGGTACAACAAAATGATCTTGATCCTACACCTATCCATCTCATCTAAGGAGCAGAAGCAATCCGTACACACAGCTGTGAAGAGCCGTTGCTCTTGTCTTCTTTCTCACGTGTTTCTGTCTGCATAGTCATAAGTGAGTTGGGCCAAGATATTGGGCCAATGTATTGGGCCACGTTGGTTTGCATAAAATCAATTTCTCTAACACTATATATGAAGTATTATATTTTTATTTATATTATATTATATTTAGAAATATGACATTTAAATATAAAATTGTATATTTGTTAGAAGAATATGAAAATATAAAAAATATTATATTTTCATTTATATTTTATTTAAAAATATGCTTTTTAGATTGTCTAAGTCGGTAATCATATATTTTTATTTACGTAGTTTTATAATATTATTTCTTTTTTCATATTTATAAAAGAATACATGGTTAAGAATGCATACTTTTGAGGATCACTACCGTTTTAAGATATGAGTATTGCAAAAAGTCATCACGTTTGTATCTTGTAACAAATCCAAGTTAAAGAACATATGGTCAAGGAGAACGTGCAACTTAATTAAAGAAAACATTTTTTATATGTCAAAAGTTGCTAACTTAAATTGTGTAGTTCAACTTTAACGTCAATCCTTATCCTCTTTTTAGAAAATCACCACTTCAATGTCAATCCCACAACTTTTATTGATTCTTATAATTCATTTTACGTAAGTATCCACGATTCTTTGGATTCGACCAAAATAAATTATATGCTACCTACAAAATAAATTTAATCTAAAAAAATATATTAAGGGGTCGTTTACTTTGAGGGAATGAGATAGGATAAGGGAAATAATCCCGGCTATCCCGCGTTTACTCCGCGGGAGTGGGATAGGCTTAATCCGATTTGGCGTCTACGTGGCAGGCTTTAATCGGTGAAATTCGGACAAAAAAATCCCGGCACCCACCTGTGACAATTTAATCCCATTTTTATCATACCTATTTTGCCCTCAGTTTTTTGTGTAAACTGACCAAAATACCCCTTATTTTCACTGAAATAACAATTTCATTACACATAAAAGTGGAAAAATCGGCCATTTGCCCTAGCTGCAAAGTGAAAGTTGCGACGCCATTGCTGCTGAGAATTTGAAGCTTCTGAATCGTAAGGTGAGCTTCTCTGTTGGTTCTACTCTCATTTTCAAATTCGTTTGATTTTGATTTGTCGCAATTTCTGGGGAACAAAGATTGAATACGAGCAATTTGCCCTAGGTTCTGCAGCAACGAAGACGAGCAGTTTGCCCTAGCTTCGGATTCTCCGTCGCGTCTACAGGTGAGGTCCAGTCGCCTTTTTGTCTTCTGATTTTTGATTTTCCATGCGTCCATCGAATTGAACAATCGGCCATTTTGCCCTATTTGCAGCAGGGAGAGTGCCGCCATTGTTACATAATAGACTGGAGCTTCGGTTTTTTCGTTG